GTGTGTGTGTGTGTGTGTGTGTGTGTGTGTGTGTGTGTGTGTACTACGAACCACTGTGGACAGCTATGACTGGACGGTGGTGCTGAGTTAAGGAGGCCATTCTTGGTGAGTCCTCCTGGGGAGAGGGGCTGTCCAGCTCCACCTTCTTAACTGGGGGAGACAGACCTGAGTACAAATACACAAAAAAACACTTCATGATGGTGAACCCACAAAATGTACAAAAACTCTTTGATCTTTGTTCACCTGTTATTACAGGGAGTAATTTTATTCAGGAAAACAAGGCCTTCTTTATACACAATACATTACCAACAGGGATGCACCGATATGAAAATTTCAGCTGATATCGATATTCAATATAATTATTGCTGTTATGGCAGATAACCAATATTTACCAATATTACACAAACACACAAATTATATTGTACATACGTATATGCACAAACACACTTTGGTCTTTTTTTTGATACTGTAAATCAGTGGCTCCCAAAGTTGGGGTTAGGACCCACAATTGGGTCCCAAAACATCAAGGTGGGGTACTGAAAATATTTTCTGAATTACATTAAAAAACAACAATTAACATCAATTTTTTTGCCTTTGTTTTTTCAAAAAATTAAGTTTAGTATACTTAAAATGGACAAAAATAACATAATGAATATTGTTACCATGCTCTTTTCTTTCTTTCTTTCTTTTTTTTGACGTGAAAACAATGTTTATGATCCAACAACAGTTGGGGGCTCAGGTCTCTGCTGCTTGTATTTTGAGGGTCAAAGGCTGAAAAGTTTGGGAACCACTGCTGTAAATATACAACCAGACCTCTGGCATGGCTCTACTTCAGTTATTCCAGGCTGTGCAGCATCAATATCACTTTCATGATCAAGCAGATGCCACTCAACCAACCATCTCCCCTCCCAGAATAGAAACACAAAGATAAAAAGTGGGAAATCGGTATCGGGCGTTAATATCTGCCCAGTTTTACATATCGGACCGATACCGATATTCTTAAAAAATGACCAATATCGGCTGATACCAATATGAATACCGATGTATCATGCATCCCTAGTTACCAAGATACAAGCATTTGAATGTTTATCACAACACATAACAGTCAGCTTTTCATGGACACTAGTTTGCATAATATTAAAATAGTAAAAATGTAATATAACTTTCCGTAATTTCCCTTCAGTAAAGTATTTTTGAATTGAAATGAAAGATTCATAACTGTAATAACTAAGAAAGGGGTCTCTGAATCACTAAGTGGGAGTTTCAGGTTTTGCACAAGGAGTTTGTCCAAAACACATTTGGTCTGTTTGACTTTTGTGGGAGGAGTTTGTTAAAGATGTGATTGGTTGGACTGATTATTCTGGGTGGGTTTGAAGAAGCAGGAAGCAGCTTGGGGCTAGCTCAGTCAAAATGACCAGGAAACACCTTGATTTTTAAATATTAATTTTAATCATAACTGGAGACAGGAAGGTACGAGCTGTAAATAAACGAAATTTGAACGACACACATATGGAAGATGTGTAACAACGTGGCTCAGTCAAAACAGCCCTAACCTGCATGGAAAAACATTGCCATTTGTTTTTAAATAATATTCATAAAATGAGACAGGAAGGTGCAGGAAGTCAATACATTGTGTTTGTCTGTATGTTCACAATAATTTTTATTACAGACAATGCTCTGTTTTAAACTATAAATAGACAGTCAACAAATTAAATTTAGGCAACATGTTCACAATAATTCTACTATGACCGCAATACTCCAAACTCCACCAATCACAGTTAGGACAAACTCCGCCTACAGAACTAGAAACTCCCCCTTTGTACTGCAGAGATCCCTACTTGAATTAACCAGTCTTTTTCTGTATCACAAACAGACATAAAGCTAATAAAAATAATTACTATTTTCTAATACATCATAAAAAATGTTAGCTGGTTACATCATAAAGATTGCGGACAAAAATAAAGAGGTTTTCATCTTCAACAGCTTCCACTACAAGGTCACGTTTACTAAACCACCTCTTTCAATGGCTACACTTTGAGCTGAAGAGCTTAGTAACAATAAAGACCTGCTACACTTCTTGTTTCTAATGCTAAGCAAATACCTTTCTTATTCAAGGATACATTTGTACTGTAAATAATATTATAGTTTTTGTTGGTTTTCTACACTTGAGTATCATGATGTGCATGCAATGCTGATTTAAGACAATTAAAGCCTCTAATTACAAACACCTTAAAGCAAGTGACTATATCAATGACTTGACCAACCAATGTTTAGATTTTTTTTACCAACAGCATCTAATTTAAGAACATTTTGAATGAAATAAGAATGTTTTGTTGTTTTATGTTTCTGACGTTTATCAGAAGGTAAACTATCCAGTTTGGAGCTCAAACAGGGACAGCTTACACTGACATCGAAAGAGAAGGTTTGACATTGAAAAATCAAACATTGACGCTGAAAAAAACAAACGCTGTAGCTTTTTTTTCTTCTATTTTTCCAATGAAACAAGTTTTCAACGCCACTGCAGAGCTTCGTTAGTTACAATGTCACCGCAAACTGTCACCGTTTCGGCGTTAAAAACAAGTTGAAGGATCCTTCACGGTCCATCCGTTTTTCCATTCATCCTCTACATCTACTGTACCTGCAGTCTGCTGCTGGACGGCTCAGGTTCAAGTACTGCTCCTCAGCCACAGGTTAGGGCCTTGTTTTTTTAAATAATCCCCCAACACACCGGCCCAAAATGACCATGTGTTGAAAGGCTGACGCTAATGCCCGTAATTAATCCATGAATTTTTCATGTTCACAGTATCACTTAAAATGTGCTCATGATGCTATTACTAACATTTACATACTATTTTACACACTATTTTACACACAAACACAAACACACACAAGACCGCGGCACTGACCTCTGAGCTACCACAGCTCCTGTCTTCAAGGATCTACGAGCCTGAATAAAGTCATGAATGAATATTTTATAATTCCAGTAAATATTTCAGGGGACAATTGGGAGCTTCGTCTCTGCTAATTATTAATACTACATTAAAATATAAAAAGCTTTAGGTTGTGCAGCAGTAAACGGCATGTTAATGTAGACTAAGGCTGGTTTGTTCAGAGGGACAAACACAGACAAAAACATTATATCGCCTCATCGATATCTCCAGACCATTCATTCATTAACTTGATACACAGCAGCACCCCTGAGTACTTCAGACAGTACGCATAATACACAGTACTCTCTCAGCATCCTGTCTCTGTCAAAGGCAGAGAAGGTGCGATTTATTTGGGGCACAACAGCAACTAAGAGGATGATGGAGCTTTTCACTACAATCAAGTGTCCATTAGTGATGACTCTCCTGTTCAATCACTCCACTGGAGTTAGGCTGCCTCCTGGGTTTGCTTTGTGAAACTTTGTGCATTTATTCTTCATGATAACTGGAAAATACAGCATGCTGTTCATTTAGCTGAGCAGAAAAATACATATACTGGAGCATTTACCTGGGTTATATATTTTCTTTAAAAACAACATGAATGCTGAGAGTGAATGACTTTACTGAAGAAGCAGAAACTGAGTTCTTAAAGCTAAAAGAAGCAGAACTTCAGCTAAAACACACTTGATAAAAGTAGCAGAATGGTAGGTATAAAGTGAAAGTAGCACAAGAAGACAAAAATAAAGCTGGTCTGCTGAAGCAGATTTCAAAGAGAACAACGTTGATCATTACAGAAGCACCGATTCTGGTTTTCTGGCCGATATTGATTTACGGTTTTAGAATAGCTCTGACCTGCCAGTTCCCATTTTCTTTTAATAAACTAACCCATACCGTTATATACAATATTATCTGCTGTCTAAAAATAAATACATCCTCAAAGAAATCTTACACTAACAAGCACTGTTGTCACTCCTCATTAAGAAAAGCAGCTATTTGCTGTTCTAAAAGTTGCCAGAGGACATTATTTAATTTGCATATTTGGTCATTTCAATGTAACTGTGATCCAGGCTGTAGGAGAAAAATATCAACGACGGAGAGACATAAGCGAGTGAAAAACTAAATAATGTGCAGAACTACAACTGAACTTAATAAAATTATTTATGATATACCTAGAACTACATAATCACCACTTTTATTTTCATGTAAAGTTTCATGTAAGAAAAAAAACAATTTAGGATTTACATTTATATTTAGGCACTGAAGATGGAAAATAGATTATTATTATTATCTAGAACAGTGCATCTTTACGACATTAAGGGCCATTCTCTATCCATGGTTTCTGACAAACGAACGAACAAATGAACAAACAAGCAAATCAGTGTTAATACACCTTCCTTCATCCAAGCTTGGAGCTGTCAGTGTCCAGAAACACTCAAACGGAGCTATTTAGGTTGTTTTAGTTGTATTTTGTAAGTTTTTCTTCTTCTTTTTGTAGCCAACAACCAATTACTGAAAAATATTTTATTTTATGCCATTATTATTTAACAACCTTTCTAAAGATATTTTTAACTTGACGACATTGCGAATATAAATGGACCAAAAAGAGAAACAAAACTGTTGTTGGCAGGTGAGCGTGGAGTTTGTCTCCTCTCCTAACTGCAGCTGATCGCCGGGGAAGGGGCCTCACCCACTGCTGAATAACTGGTGCAGTCAATAAAAGTCTCCAAACACAGCAGAAAAAGTTTCTAAATGTGACGCAACGTGGTTAAAAATGGTGCTAGTCTTGTGCAGATGGTGTGTTCATGGATCAAAGAAAATGTTGGATTTCTCAGAACTGCGTCTTTAAAAATCGAGGGAGAAAAAAAAAACGCCTTTTGTTTTTGTTTGTCTGGTTTCCGGTTTGGGCTGATCAAGGTGAAAACCTTGATACCAGCTTCAGGCCGAGCGCTCGGTGCAGCCCTAATGATCATGTTGCAGGTGTGGTGATCCGTTACCTCCTTCTATGTCATCAGTCCAGTTTCTGGAGCTGCTTGCTGGAGACGAGGGCGAGTGGTAATACTCTCCTCCTGGACTGTCAGCATCCTCCTCTATGGAGCCAGATTTAAGACGTTTACTTCTGCAGACACAGAAAAGAAAAACATTGGTCCAAAACTACGGAGGACCTGAAAGAGTGAATGTTTAACTGGTCCGGGCAGAAGAGTCGAGTGCTGAAAACTGAAGGAGCTCAACAACATGTCCTTTTGAACATGTCCTGATTGAACATTTTGATCCCATTTCTGTTCACTCTGTTCTCCTCAGCAACTGTCATTCATGCTTTTATTTTTTTATTCATTTTATTTTATTCATAAAAACCAATAAAACCCAATAATAAACAAAAGTTATTACGTAAAATTGGCTTTATATCATGTTATAATATCATTCCCTCATCAAAAACATACCCAAAGTATTGCTTTGACTCGTTCATGCATGTTTGAGAAATCACCTAAACGCTTGCTGGTACAAAGCCCCGCCTACTTATTCAAAGCTCCTCCCTGGAGCTCAGTCTGCAGAAGAGCTCCCGCCCCACAGGGCACCCATTCCTTAAAGCATTGTTTGAAAACATGCTGAAGTGGGAGTGTCGGAAACTGTAGGAGGTTCTTAAAGAGACAGAGGCCAATTTCAAGGCGTTTAGATAAACTATGATGCAAAATCAAATTTATTTTTGTTATATACAACTTTTCATAAGGTAACATATTTGATTGTGCTGATTGGACTACGTGAATGGAAAAAAAACATACTGGTAATACCACCCTTTAAAAATGACCTCTTATTTTTGTGTGGACGGTTTGAGAACGTCTTTTTAGATGGATTTTCAGCCATTATTATGCATCTGCCAATGTTTTCTGATGGAGAACAGAGCTGTGCAGGTGTTAAAATACTCTGGAGTTATGGACATGAGGTAGAGGCACCTGCACCTAAACTAATACAGGTTTTGAACAGCAGCAACAGAACTGAGATGGGTTTGAAACACTCACATTAACTCTATAGGCTCTTTTTATAAACCATTTCAGAGAAACGGCCGCACAGTTCAATCTGTCTTTATGCTTCCTCTGGTGGTTCATAAATCACAGAAGTAAATAACGTTTCAGAGACTCCCCTGTGAATGCCATTCACCAACTTGTCTCCATCAGTAGCAGCTCAGTGAGATAATGGTGTAACAGTAGTAATGTAGCATCAGAGCGGATGGCAGGTATGGCGTTAGACATTTCCTGGCTTTCTCTTTCTGCTCCTTTTATCTTCAAGACCCAAAACACAGACTCTAATGAGAATGCCATGTGATTGCAACATAGTGACTCAGCTTGCTAACATAATATGCTAAACAGCTAAACACAAGGCAGTGAATGTAGAGGAGTATTTGGAGAGAACATACCCGCTGGACGAAGTGCTGGCCAGTGATCGCTTCAGGCTGACCGGCTGGTTGATGGACTGGTTGAGGTCATAGGCCAGATGACCCTGGAGATCCCCCATGGAGAAACCAGGTACAACCCCAGTTACGACTGGAACTAAACGCAGAGAGGACACCGTGTTCAAACAGCGAGAAGCTAAGCTGAATGTCAGCCTCATCACATCCAAAACTACCAGATGACGTGCACACTAATGTTGTCAGTGTGACGCCTGTAGGAGGATTACCTGATGGTAAACCCAACTTACTTCTTGAAACCTGGACCAGCTCGGCAACACTAAAAACTCCTGAAGCCACAAAACTTTCCTGGAACTCTGGACCATCTGCGGAAACCGAACAGAGGGAATACAGTATATTTATCTGCTCACACGTGGAAGTCAGAACCTAAAGGATAACTGTGAGTTGCCCTTTACAACTAGATATTGCGTTAGTGCTTACAAACTGGAAAACAGCTACCTATAGTGGCCGTCCGACTGTCATCCTGATCAGAACCTACTCCAGCTCGACTGGGACTACTGGTCTGCTCTGCCTCTATAGACCAAGAGAGAAAAACAAATACAATCCTGAGTTTCGCTCATAAAACATGGAAAAGCTCAAGAAAACAAGACCAGGGGTCGGATTTATAAAACTGGCGTACGCACAATTTGAGCCCAGAAACTTGCGTACGCCACTTTTTACACCAAGGTTGTGATTTATAAAATCCTAACTTGACGTGAAAATGTGACACAGATGGTGAAGTGAGGAATTAGAGCCACACTGTGTAATGATCACTGTCGGAT